TTTTCGACCCAGTCTCGGGGTCTCCCACAGCAGTGGCAAAAATAAGTTTTGACGATCCCTGTGGAAGAGCACGGGAATGGGTCGAAAAATCGATTGAGAGATATTCAAAAATAAACCTTTGCAATATCATCAGGGGTACGTGTTAACTTGATTTTAATAGAAAAAACCGAAATATTTTGGGGGCAAGAAAATGCCTTTATCCGCCCTCGTTCTTTCTGTAATTTTCAAGACTATGTAAACTCATAGAAAAGTTTTTTTTTTTTAAATTGGGAGGTTAATGAAATTTCGGAAATTGCCAAATTTTTCGAAGCAGCGAAGCTTTCGGAAACATGGCTTGCAAAATTTCAGAGATTTTCATAATTTCCCTGTTTTGATAGTCTAAACACTGCTGTATATCAAATGATTCTTAAACTTTCGGATTTTCTTCATAACTGAATATTAGGCAATTAAAAGTTGGGACTCGTTGCCAAATTTAATATAGAAGAAATAATGAAATCTTAAATTTTGTAGTTTAATTAAAGTAATTTGAAAGAAATGATCCAACTCTACTTCTATCTGATGACAAAAAAATTTACCGATCGGTTACTCTTTGTTTCACTCAATGTGGCACACTGATTTATAGTGCGAAAGCTTTAGCAGATTTTTCCATCAAAATTCTCTCATGTTAATTAAATTTGTGCAAATTTCTGTTCATAGGTAACATTGGAACTTCGAATAACCAATTCATCTATCCACAAGGGATTGCGTTTGATTCGAGCTCAGGTACACTCTACGTAGCCGACACTGGCAATCATCGTGTGATGCAGTATTCACCAAATGCGTTGTCAGGTACTGTTGTTGCCGGCGGCAATGGGGCAGGAAACGGAAACACAGAGTTGGCTAACCCTACTGGTATCTACTTTGATTCATCGTCAAACAGTCTTATAATTGCAAATACTGGTGCCAACAATATTGTTCGTTGGGTACTGGGTGACACTAATTGGACACTTATCGCTGGGGATATCAATGGAGTGAGTGGTAACACATCAACACTGCTCCATGAACCATACGATGTGACCCTCGATAGTTGGGGCAACGTGTATGTAGCTGATACGTATAATAACCGTATACAATTCTTTTTGGCTGGGCAATCGAACGGCACAGCAATTGCTGGCGACACAAATGTATATCGATCAAACTCCACTTTACTCAGTTATCCCTACTCATTGGTACTCGATGCTCAGCTCAATTTGTATGTATCAGACAGCCTTAATTTTCGAATACAAAAGTTTGCACATTATTAAATGAAAGTCTACCGATCTATACGGAACAGTTTGAACCTAAAAATTCAACTAGCATTCCGGCGAGTATATCCACCAATACTTGATGACTATCGTAGTTCTTAACAAAACTAAATATTCATTTTGTGTGTCATATGTTCTGTTGAACAGATCTGCTTGGTCACTGGTTTTTTTTAATGTTATTGCTTCATAATTCATATTTATGCGTAATCATTTATTTTAATCTCGCTGTTTATATAAATCACACGATGGTACTGAAAAAGTATCAGACATCGATCTAGAGAAAAATTACATAGATTCGAAAGAATGGAAACGAGAGTGATAATGACGAGAGAGTATAGAATTTGTAGTAACTACAACTGATTTCAACATTGCTAAAGAGTTTCTTCAGGTAGCGAATGATTATGTAAATGCGTCTTTGTCTTCGTCATGAATACGATATGCAATATCAGTTAAAATATAACCAAGAAGATTAAGTCCTCTCCAATTTGTACTTTTTTAATTAAATGAGGGTGTGGGTGGGTGTGGGTGTTATTTAGAATAATCGCTGTTCCACGACAACAGTTGTTTCTGTCTTGGCGGGACTTCTTCAGGTGGAGCTCTTAATACTATATCTACTAGATAATAATTCTTGAAATATAGGTATATAACATTTGAATTATTTTTCGATATAACAATTAATATATAGACATTTGCACATTTAAAATTTTCAAATCAAATTAACTTTAAACTAATCTTAATCGAATATAGAAGTCAATATTTATTTTGATGAAAAATTTTTTAACAAATACCAAAGATTTCTAGAAACACAAGTGGGTGTGATTTAGAATAATCGCCGTTCCACGACAACAGTTGTTTCTGCCTTGGCTGGACTTTTTCAGGTGGGTGTGTATAGTTACCACAATACCGTAGGTATTTCGATGTTACTGACTCAATCTTATCAAGTGGCACAAGTATCAGTATAAAAGATTCGAAAAAATAAAATTTTTTGACTCAATACATAATACTAAAATCTACTATCAATAAAATAGTAGAATCACCTCATAAAAGTGGGT